TCCAGACTTTTGGTTACTGTCTGCAATGATAAGTTGATCTGTGTCACTCTCAGAAGCTCTAGACTTCCCATTTTCTTGCCTGCAGGTATTTTAATAAAATAAAAAATTACAAAAAAATTGAAATACTCTTTCCATATAAACCCGGCTTGTGTCTGCCTCCAAAGTTCTGGAATAAAAGGTGTGAGCTATCACACTGGGCCCACAATGGGACTGTCTAATTTGATATAGAATAATATAAAGGAACTTTGTATCTTTAACTCCAAAATTATTTATTTTTTTTCCTCTTTTAGTTTTCAATTCAGATATATGTCCTCAGGGAGCTTTGACACCATCATCTGGAACTCCTTTAACACCTGAAATCTAAACATTTAAATTTTTTTGGATACTTTGCTCCAGCTAATCCTCACATTGTCTCATCAGGATTGAAGTTTGTAGTAAGCATTTACAAACAGCTTTTGTATCCCTTGAGACCACAGGTAACCAAAGGCAGGATGAAAGCCTGGTACTTCTACTTTCATTTTGTGTCTGTCTCTACACAGGCATCTGTTTGACTGTGCATAGCCATGACAATCAGGAGGAAGTGTCTGTCTACTCAACCTACAGCATTTCCTCAGGGCCACTGTCTTAAACTCTTTGGATTCCTAGGACAGCAAATCCTCACTGATAAGAACTTAGGATGGACTGGCTACACAGCAAAGCAAAAAGTAGATAGTCCTCCCTAGAGAATGGAGGATCTGAGAGGAAATAAACAGACTAAACCTGGACCAGGACTGTTTAATTGTGCATACTTCCTGGCCCCTGCCCTCCTACATATTTTCCTTACTGACAACTCATACACAAAATAAAATAAAATAAAATAAAATAAAATAAAATAAAATAAAATAAAATAAAAATCCTATGCTCAGCCAGGTGGTGGCGGCACATGCCTTTAATCCCAGGAAGTAGAGGCAGGCAGATCTCTGTGAGTTCAGAGGCCAGCCTGGTTTACAGAGGGAGTTGCAGGACAGGGGCCAAAGCTACACAGAAACCCTGTCTTGGAGTTTAAAAATAAAAATCTTATGCTCAAATCTAAAAATTCTTGACACTGAATTTATTTATTTGTTCTTCTTTGCAATGTGGATTATATATTTTCCCTATTCTTCTTCTTTTTTTAAAGTTATTATTTATGTGGCTGTATGTGGATACCTAAGGAGACCAGATGACATCAAATCTCCAAGAGCTGGAGTTGCAGACAAGTTTTGACCAGGGAACTCACCTCAGGTCCCCAGGAAGAGCAGCATGTACTCTTAATCCACTGAGCCATTGTGAGGACTAAAGTTATGTTTTAAGTTTAAATTACTGTGCTTGTAACCTGTAAGTCCTACTTGCCCAATGACAGATAACTTCCTGGAATGCTGGAGCTATTGTTCACAAAGGTGGAAGTACAGAGCCTTGTGGGCTTTACCTTTATTAAGCATTACACTAATGTAATTCAAGACAATAATTTGGAAATTCTGGGTATGGTCCTGGCTGGTATTTAATCAAGCTTCTTTCAAATTTGGCTCAACAATTGTGATAGTTGTCTAATCCCAATGGAATTAACAACATCTCTCCATCTCCTCTTCTTTGCTTTTCACCATTACTAGTGCCTTTTGCTGTCACACTGGAGTGGGTGTCAGGCCTAGCTTACTAGGGCTTCCAGTTTTGTACTAAAACTCTAGTCACAGTCCATCCATGTCTCTATTTTCACCCTATCAGTTCTTTACTCTCTCTTCACTTAGACTTCAATATAAATTTCAACCACTGGAATATTCCCAACTTATGGTCTGTATTTAGAGAACTCATGGAGATAAGCAAATAAAGCACTGCTTTGAGAAGAGAAGTGTTCCACTTGGCAGCTAACACCAACACATATAACATTTCTTCCTTTGTCAGATGGGAAGGTTCTTTTTATTCCATATTTTCTCTTTCCTCTTTCTCCTGTTCTGTCTACAACAATTTTTAAAAGTTATCTATATTTACTCACTGTTTCACTTCATTTGTTCTTGTCATTGCAGTCACATTCCACCTCTGCACTCACTGAACTGTTCCTATCTGTTTTATCAATAAATTCTTTATTCTAAGTATCTGTCTGAGATTTCATACCATTTTGCCTGCCAGCTATCCAGGATAGAATTGATCACTTCTTCCCCCTGAAGTACTCATACCTCTTATTGCTTCTCTTTAAAACTTTTATATTTCAATTATGTGTTTATGTGTGAGTCTGGAACCAAACTAATCCCCACAAAAACAGCACATGTTTTTAAGTCAATAGCCACATCTCCAGCTCCCACTTTCTTCTCTAGAATGAATATTCCTAGTAGTCCACTTCTCCTTTATCTGCCCCCCACTTTTTCTGAGACAGGGTTGATCTGTGCATTCCTGACTGCTCTGTAGATGGAAGGGAGCATACAAAAAATACCTTGGCCTAAGAACCACCATTTTGACTTCAGACTCCATTTTACCCTTAGGGTGAAATGGGAAGCAGAAAAACTTCCAATAGCTGACCAAACTCCTCCTTTGACAATAGAAACAGCATGTTATGTCCCTTAGTTCTTCAAAACATTATGGCTTATCCTAATAACAGAAAGAAAAAATGAATATGATTGGTTGGATTGAAAGGCTTACATTCTGTGTGGGTTGACAATGTTGAAACATACAAGGAATGACCCCAATTTGCCTCCTGTTTGGTGAAAATTGTAACTTGGCAATTTTTGTGCTTATAAACCACACTTCTTCCCTGGCTTGGGACTGCCAGGAGAAGCAAGGCTCCTGAGTTCTTGTCCTGCAGCCCTGATCCATCATCTGCTTATGTCATGAAGTATTAAAGATTTTGGGACCCATAGGATTGTCTCTCTCCTTCCTCACAGCCCACAAGAGACAAAGTGAAACACAGACCAGGCTTGCTTTGAACTCAGAGATCAGGCTGCTTCTGCCTCCTGAGTCCTAGAATTAAAAGTGTGTGCCACCACTGCCCTGCTAAACTGCCCATTCTTAAGTGTGGGTTTCCTTAGAAGTCTGTTTTTTTCATACTTTTCACATTCCCTATATACTTACAAGATCATTTACATACCAGCTGAGGTCCCCCCTCAACACACACGTATGTTCACATATTCACTACACTTGCTGTCTCCAAAGATGTTTCTGTTTGGTGTCTTTTCTGCAAAGGGCTTTCATTATGTACCCACCTTCCCAAGCCAGACTTCTAGCATCACTCTATCTTTTATTCCTCACATTCAAGCCCAGACCTTTCTGTTGATATTTTTTTCCAATAATTTCAGCTGACATCCTGGTCCTTATTATGCCTTTTTGATGGGTGCTTTGGAGACAGCATCTATATAGACTCGAGTGATCTTGAAATTGTGGCTATCCTATCTGCCTTTCCAGTGCTAGAATTACTGGCATGCATGGCATGCATGATACCTGACTTAGTATGTCATCTTTTTAAAGGATCCTCCGTTCCCAAATGCAGTCTCTTCACAGAGCCAGAAAGGTTCTTTAAAAATGGAAATTTTGGGCAGGTGAGATGGCTTAGTTAATAAAGGCACATGAAGCCAAACCAGAGTTTGATTCCTAGGACTCATAAAATGCAAAAAGAAAGTCAGCTCCTTCCAGTCATCCACATTAAAACATTTTTATGTAAAATTTTTTCAGGTATGCTGCAGCAGTTCTAGGATTGCCCAAGATTCAAGGTCAGGCTGGTTTACATAGCAGTCCCAGAATAGCCATTGCTACACAGTAAACCATGTCTCAAATAAACTTAAAAGAAACAAGAGTAACTTTTATCATGTTTCTCTTAGGCTTATCAATTTTTAGACAATTATGAGACAATGACTCTATTTGTAAAATACCTTCTGGAAGTTCCAGAGATGGAATAATTCAAGGTTCCGCCCAGCGTACTAAGTGGGTTACCACTTGAGCTATGCAACCAGCTGGCCTTATCTCTGGGCAAACCCCTTGCCTCTGCTTCCCAGGTGCAAGTGCTAGCATTACAGGTGTGACCACTATGCTCAGGTTTTGTTGTTTTGTTTTCTTTAGTTCGGGTTAATTTTAAATTAACAGTCCTCTCTCTTTGACTTCTCAAATGCTGGGATGACAGGTGATTCCCTGACTTAGAAATTTCTTGTTACTTTTAGGGTCAAGTTCAGTACACAGCATTTATGACTTAAGTTTCAATGCATTCACTCTCTTCTGAATTGTGAATTACTAGAAAACAAATCTGCAGCCTCAACTTATCTGTGGGTTGAAAGATTTATCTTCCTCCTTTCTTTATCTAAACCACATTGCACTCAACTTTACATATTAACTGAAAATTAACTTCTAGAAAAGTGATATGCCTTGAGTTAGAATTCCCAGAAATCTAGCATATACAGTATTTACCAGTGTTGTTTTTTAGTTCCCCAGCCTCTAGGTCCATAAGGACAGAACTAGGCTTTCTTAAAACTTTACATGGGAGGATGAGACACAAAATAGTTCAACTATTTGTTGAATAACTATTTTCTTTTGAATGACAGTGGCCAGGGAGTATATCAGGAAAGGGACAGAGGAATGCGGGGTACTTCAAGGTATGTAGGCTCTTTCATAAACGTTTTTTTAAAGATAGTGTTTCACGTAGCCAAGTTATCTCAAACTCACTACCTAGCAGAGACAGGCCTTGCATTCTTGATCACACTGTGTCTGCGTCGTCGTCCCCCGCCCTCCCCCGACTCCCCTAGCTGGGAAAACAGGCCGCTCTTCCATAAACTGGCCCAGAAGAGCAGGTTTTCCGCATGCAGAGTTGTTGGATCCCGTGCCACTGGAACCTATTGGACACCTGGAAAATCCTAGAACTGGATCTGTTTCTGTCTCACGCGATGTTTGCGAAACCAGCCTGGGACATTCCCCTGGCTCCAGAGATCCGCCCAGTCACCTCTGCTTCTCCTTCGAGGCCCCGCCCCTCCCCGGAAGTTACTTGGGCCCTTCCGGAACTTCTGGGTCAAGCGGCTGCAGCGTCACCAGACGAGCCGGAGCGGGCCCGGCAGAGCAGCCGCTGCCACCGCCAACGAACCGGCCGCCGCGCGGAGTCCAGCAGCGCGCCGGGCAGCCCAGCGGTCGGGCCCAGCGGTCGGGCCGAGGGCAACGCGACGCGGACGAGGCGGAGCCCGCAGCGGTGCGGGGGCCGGGGGGCGGGCCGGGGGTGGCCCCGGGCTCATGGAAGCACCCGAGCGGGCTGGCGGCGGGGAGCCCCCCGAACCTGGCGGGCGGCCGGGCCTGGGCCCACGGGCCTTCGTGCCTCAGAAGGAGATCGTGTACAACAAGCTTCTGCCCTACGCCGAGCGGCTGGACGCGGAGTCCGACATGCAGCTGGCGCAGATCAAGAGCAACCTGGGCCGGGCTGTGCAGCTCCAGGAGCTGTGGCCGGGCAGCCTCTTCTGGACCCGGAAACTCTCTACGTAAGTTGGCCGAGGCTGCGGACGGGCCGCTCTCTTTGTTTGAGCTGCGGCTGCTCAACTTTGTTTTGTTCAGGCAACGCTGGCCTAGTGCAGGGTTCCAGGGCCGCGGCCGACCCCGGGAGGCACCCCAGCCTCTTGGCTCTTTCTGCGCGGGACTTCTGGGTACTGCCGGTCGCCCCTCATGGCCAGAGTTCTGGTCGTTTCTTTCACCTGTCGGGCTTTAGGGAACCTCAGGGGTTCCGGTACAGAGCGAGGAACTCTCCTTTGGCTCTCCTTGGAGTTCTGCGCGAATATCTCTGCAGGGTAGAGAGGTCCTGTCTTTGGGGAAGCAGCTCCTGACTTCACTTCTGTATTTCCTCTACTTCTTCCTTCCCCGACGATCTCCTAAACCGTATTGCGAGTGGGAAGGAGGCCGTAGGGAGAGGAGACTAAGAGGTTTTGGGGTGTGTGTGCGCTCGTGCATGTTTGTCTTGTGTGTTGTCTGTGTTGCTTTGTTTGGTGTGTGTGTGTGGAGGGGGGGGTCCTCCGCACGTTTGTCTGTGTGTCTTGTGTGTTGTCTCTGTTTTGTTTGGGGGGGTGTTGCTTCTCTGGATTTAATTGAAACGATTGATTTCAAATAGGTGATCAGCTCATTCTCGGGTTCAGTAGACGTTGATGTTGAGAATGTTGTCTTAGAATCCTAGGAAAGCGTATGTTCCGGTTGTGACATTTCCTCGGTCGAGACTTTGCTGATTCTAAGTGAAATAGTGAAAAAAAAAAAAAAAAAAAAAACGCTTTCAGGTTGTCCCAGGGCTTTGCGGAATGTGTGCTTTTGAATTGGTCAGATGAATGTTAACGACCTTAACCTTAATTTCAGAGTTCGTTTTTATTCTGTGTACATTAACTACAGATTACAGTGCCAGCGGAATTAGAGCTAGGGAAAAGTAATGCTGGAGTAAAACGTTTGGAGAGATCATTTGCTTTATATACACCTTTATGGTGGCAGAACTTTATGTAAGAATTTTGCTGTTTTGTTTGAGACTGTATGTTTATGCATGTGGTTACCCGTGAGTGATCACACAGGGCATTTTGTTTACCAGAATCTGCTGAGTGAACTGGGTGATGACTCAGGGTTTTATAATGCAATTGTCGGCTGTACCGCCCCTGGGATAATTCTTATGTACTAATTATTAGGGGTACTCTGACAGGTTTTTCGTACTCCCTGAGAGGGTGGAAATAGCCCTCTTTTAATTAAAAGATGTAAAAACTGAAACACTTAATTTGCTCTTCTTAGAGTGACCATAAAATGTCAAGATTGACAGATTTTTTTAAAGATCCATAAAAGTGGAGATCAATTGAACCAAAGAAAACCCACTTTTTATGTGGTTAAATTTTAAATGCTTCTTCACGTTTTACCCTAGGTGTTGATGTAACTTGAGCACACTAAAAATAAAATTTGTTAGCTGGGGTGTAGACCTTTCTAAAATCGCTTTGATAGACTTGCCAAAGAATATTGCTTTCACAGGGTATAATCAACTTCTTTTTCGTGTACAATATGCCAATGTGTGAAAACATCCAGTTTGGATTTATAAGCATAATTAAATGGTTTTCCAATTTCTGCTTAATGAGTTTGGTAAATAGCACAAGGTTTTGTTACTGTTTTGGCTGAAGTAACATTACTAAGGAAGGGCTAAAAATACAATGGAGATACACCATATGGTGTATGTAAGGCAGTATTGCTGTTTAGATAGCTGTTAACTTTTTTTTTTTTTTTTTTTTTTTTTTTTTTTATGTGAATAGCCTGCAAGTAGTGCTATCAGATAGAATAATTTTGGGATGATGGTTAAATGCTGGAAACCCATTTTTGGAACTGCATAACTTTTTTTTTTTTTTTTTTTTTATGTGAATAGCCTGCAAGTAGTGCTATCAGATAGAATAATTTTGGGATGATGGTTAAATGCTGGAAACCCATTTTTGGAACTGCATTGCTATGTGACATTTTTAATTTGATAGGGCATGCTGTAATCTTTGGTGTTTTTTCCATTCTAAGTCATATTAAGGTGCCTGTTAGTTGTGATTCGCCCCCTCCCCCCCCACACTTTTTAAAAGCCCAGTGTATTGTTTAGCATTTAGCAGTGATCATGTTTAGTATTTCCTAGAAGAAATGTAGTAATAGAAAATTCATTCTTCCCACCAACTCTGGAAATGTGCTACTTAAAAATGCCTTTCTGTTTTCTTGTGAATGAAAATTATTTAGTGGGCTAAATAATTCCTAGAAACTATTTTTGCTTTGATAATCTGTTATTTTAATATTTGTTAATTTTGGAGGGTTTCATATAAACCAGTTGTGATTCCCCTCATCCCTCCCCACCACCACCACCTTGAGATCAGGCTGGTGTGGGATGACATTCGTCTACCTGATTGTACCTCCAAATTGTTGAATTACTGACAAGAAATAACATGCCTAGCCTAACCTCTGTTTTTGAGACAGGTTTGCTTCAAACTTAAACTCCTGACCCCTGCTTTCACCTCCCAAGTGCCAGCAATTCAAAAATAGCCAGTTTCCTTTTTATTGGCTAAATGGGTCTTTGTGCCAGAACCTCATTTTTGGTTCTAATTTGAATAACTTTTTTAATTAAAAGACTTTTTTTTTTAACCTCATACATTTTCAATAAAATTTATTTATTTTATTATTATTGTGTATGTGTGGTGGCAGTCAGAAGACAACTCTAAGGAATGGACTCCCTCCTACTGTCCCACTGTGGCTTCCTGGGATCAAAGTCAAGTTTTTAGGGTTGCTTGCCAAATGCTTTTACCTGAGGAACCATCTTGTTGATTCTGAACATTTTTATTATGGAAAATATCAAACATACAAAAGAGAACAGTAATATAATGAATATCATTTTATATATACCAACAATCATCAACCCATATTTATGTTTATACATTCTTGCTGTAGAAACCTTCTATTTCATTGCTGACTTAAATAAAAAAAAAAATCACTAGAAAATGAAATGAAACTCCTTTTGAAAACATCCCAGATTGCTGACAATATTCCACTGGACAGCCTACAAGAGAAGAACATGAAACATTTCCAACTATTCTTGTTTACAGTAGAATACTATTCTCATACCTATTTCACAGCAGCAATGGTTATTAGGTTGGTTTTTTTTTTTTTTTTGTTCTTTTTTGTTTTGTTTTTTCCTTAAAAATAAAAGTCTTTGTTACTCCTGGTCCATTGCCACATGAAATACAGCAGCCATACACTCCTGTCTCAAAGGACAATGCTGCTACTCCTGCTTCCCCACATTTCCTGCCACGAAAACCTAAAATCCCTCTGAAACCATGGGCCAAAATAAATCTTACCAATCTTAAAGGATTTTTACACACACCTTTTTACACACACCTTTTTAAACTTTCATAATTTTACTATTTTTATTTTATGTGTATGGGTGTTTTGTCTACAGTTAAGGCCAGAAGATCAAAGTCACGTATGATTTTGATGGAGCCATCTTTTACCCGCTCCCTCAAGACGTTTTAAAACTAAAGAACATGTCTTTGTTATACATATGCATATGCATATACATATACATATACATACATACACACCTTGGCTGGGTCACACATATACTAAGCAAGTGGTCTACCACAGTTATACTTCCACTCTGAAGTACATGTTCTTATTGAAGTGGATGAGTTTTTCTTGATTTGACTATTTGAATAAAGATGCTGACTCTGTAGCCCAGGATACCTTAGAGCTCACCCTGTAGATGAGGGAGGCCTGAAACTCATTCACAGTGCTCTTCCTGCTTTAGTCTTCTGAGTAGTGGGTTATAGAGTATGAGACATCACATTGAGCTGCACAATAAATAAATAAACAATAAAATTGAGAGCTGCCTTCCTTTCTTCCTTCTTTCTTTCTTATTTTTTGAGACAGGGTTTCTTTGTGTAGCCTTGGCTATCCTGGTACTCACTTTGTAGACCAGGCTGGGCTTGAACTCAAAGATCTGCCTGCCTCTTCCTCCTGAATGCTGGGATTAAAGGTGTGGGCTACCACTGCCTGGCAAGAAAGGTGCTTTTCAGCAAAAACTTCTGAAACCTTCTAATTGTCAACTTTCTTTTGAGAAAAATTCAAATTCATTTGTAGTTGCTAGGTCTCCAACCCTGGAAGTAAAGGCTTGGAGTGCCTCTTTAACACATCAAAGTGAACGTGGCCATCAGGTTCTCCCACCATCCTTCAGCCCCCGCTTATTACAGTGTCCTGAAGTCTCCAGCCTAGTGGGTTGGACTGCTCTTCCCTACATAACTCTACCATTTTGGTTACCCAGCCCTTTTGTACCTTTGTCTGCTGTGCTGCACCTTGTTCCCCTCTCTTCCCTCTCCTCTTGTCAATTCAAACTTGTAATTCTTCTGTTTTCCACATTGAAGCTTATAGAAAACCAACTGTTATTTTGTACTAACAGCAAGTTAAGAACATAGTAATGAAAACAACAAAGTAAGCAGCAGCAACAAAAGCCCCTTGTATTGGTTTCTGGAGTGTTAAAATCAGCACACAGATTCCCTTTTGGGGTCTTTCTTGGCTTGGCTATTTCCATATTTGGTCTATGCTCAGTATTTCTCTTTTGATCCGAATTTTCATGCTTTTGTGTGCATATCTTCCCCTCTAGTACTGTGAGGATTATTTTTACTTCTTCAGCCTTCTACCCCCAGCATTTAGGAGTGGTATTCATTGTTAGAATTAGTTTTTTGTTCTTTGTAACCCAAACATTAGCAAATCTAAGGAATTGTTAATGTTACATTCAAAATTTAAAAAGTGAATGGTAGTTTATATTCATTTTAATACTGGGTTCAAAAGAAAGTATATCTGAAGCACTTGGAAGGCAGAGGCAGGCAAATCTCAGTGAGTTCTACAAAGGAGTTCCAGGACAGCCAGAGCTATTATACAGAGAAACGGGGGGTGGGGTGGGGTGTGTGTAGTATATCTTTAACCAAAGAGTTTGAAGGACAGTCTGGTTACCAAA